CCGCCCGCTGCGGGGGTGGGAGGACAACTCGGCCACGGGGCGCCCGGAGGAGAGGGCGGAGCGCAGGCGAAAACAGCCGCCGCGGTGCCTGTAGTGGCCGCGCGGCCCTGCGGGCGCCTTGCGGGCAAAATGCCCGAGCTGAAAGCGGCGCCCCGAGAGACGCAGGCCTCCAAGGGCAGCAGTGGAGGCCTGGCCCTGGGGATGAGCGCTGGGGACAGCAGGCCCCTTGCGCCTGGCGAGGGTGGCAGGTACCCGCGTGCGCTGTTCAAGCAGCCGGTGGATAAGCTGAGGTGATGGACAGGCTCCAGCCTCAGCCTGGACTGTGCTTTGGAAGAAAGCGCTGCACGAGTGCGTGCAGTGCCTGGCCCAGGCAGAAATCTAGGGAGGGCGCTTTCATTTGAGCTTTCAGCATTTCTGTATGACAGGTGGCAGACTGCAGAATGAAAACATGTAGTGAAGTGAAAAAGCATGTCAGGGACTGAAGCAAAACAGCCCTAAGTGATATTTCTTTTCATCCTCACAGGGACCTTGCAGTTAATGTGTCAGCTCATCTCTTCCAATTACTGTAGCAGCCTGTCACACTCTGAGAGATCACGGCGTAAGGGTCACTTATGATCCATAGTTCATTTAATTGACAATGTGTTATCTGAGCTGTAGGAACATTCCTTGTCCCATGCTTTGAAACTGGACTTGGCTGCATGCGATTGTTCAGTTCTCTTCCAGCACTTAACAACCTGCTCAAAGTTCACTGAAAAAGTAAGTGTGATGACCTGTCTCTAGGACCTATCATGTTCCTGAAACAAGACTTTGGGCACAGAACCAAAAAGTGACATTTCTTTGGCCTGTATTTACTTTGTGAAAAAACTTCATCAAAAGTTACTAACAACGGCCTGCAAGTTATCCATCTGACTATTGCCAGGTCCAGAATCAGAGACACAGCTTTGGTGTCTCTGTGTCTTCATTTCCCATACAAGCAAAAAAGCTTAGGACAAATTATTCCTGGGAGAGCAAATGTCCCTTTAAGTGCTTCTTGCTGGGTATCCTCACAGAACTCTATTCTTGGTACCTACTTGGTTTTTGTTGTTGTTGTTTTGTTTGTTTGTGGACTTTCGACTTCAATTAGTCTCCTTCTTCCAGGCTGCAGAGTTTTCCCAGTGGAATAGCCAAGTAGCACCACTGGAAAAAGGCAAAAGCAGTGCATCCTTCTCAATATTGTCTGCTGAAAGCACTTCATGGTTGAGGTACAGCCTTTTCTACTTTTTCTACTGTCCTTCTGATCACCTGCCCAAAGCTTTGCAGTGAATATCAGACATCACCCATGGAACTCATTATGATGATACAACATAATGATAACATAGTCCCCATAAATAACAATCAGGACAGAAAAATACAGAAGCAAGGGCCAGAAAAGTGGTTTGGGGACAAAAAGTCCATAGCAAACCAGAACACCATCAAGTAGGGAGCCTTTTGTTCACACGGATGATGTCTCAGTGCAATCAGAGAAGTCAATCAGTAAACCAAGAATGACTAAAATAGAGACCCCACTAAAAGCACAGGAATGACAGTAGCACTCAGATTCTGGTGACAAGTCTGTCAAGTGACAAGTGACAAGTCTGTCAATGTTGGACAAAGAGGCAACTTCGAATCTGCAAGAATTACTCAATGACAAATTCAATTAGCCAGGTATTTTTCATATGTGCAGGCTCACATTTTCCCCAGAACTCTGCTCCTCCGATTTCAGGATTGTTTTGGTCTATGAACTTTTCATCATCCCTTCATATCAATCACCAATTTCTGGACAAACATAAACCTTCCTTCACATTTCTTATCTCCATTATTGCATTGATTTCTACTCAGACAAACCTCTCCCGCTTCCCCAAGCAACACAGCAGCTGCCTTTGGATTTCCGCTATCACGATATCTTTATGTAAGAAGTCCTCGGCCACTGAAAGTTATTTTTATCTCAGAACAACTCTGTGGAGTGGGTTTTAAAACAAGAAGGAAATCTGTACATGGAGCTTGTCAGAAGTACTAAAAAGGTTACTGAATTCTGCAAATGTTCAAGGTGCTAAGTCAGAGGCACAACTAGGCCCCAGATTAAATTTAACAGTACAGGCCAATGGATAGAGCCCAGCAGCTCAGGATTAAAACTCAGAAATCTTCAAGCATACAGTTCCTACAGCGAGTATCCGGGGCAAGCTAGGATCCTTTTAAGTGGAAAGGGGCTAAGCCCAGGATCAAAGGACATACCTTACCCAGGCTCCCAGCACAGCAACCTGGGCCTCTGGATCTCAACACAGCACTTGGGAGATCTCGCTGGTGAAGCTCACACATAGCTCTGTCCGTGCTGACTGATCAGACTAAGGGCTAGAAGAGATCTCAGATCTCTTCCAGAAAACCTTTCGTAACAGATGTTGCAGGGAACATTACAAGATCTCTGTCAGTGGAGGCTCTTGAGGGTAAAGTAGACATTACATTTTCAGAATGAAAAAAGGGGGAGCTGCACATCAGTTTCAGCTGATAAAGATCGGCGCTGGGGAAGAGCACAGATGGCAATTTAGCCCCAGTCTTCATCCCTTTAGACAGAGGCACATACTGAGAATCATTTTGTTGCAGCAGGCTGACCAGGACTCCACAGCAGGGTACAGGGAGAGCATCTCCCTCTCTCTTGCTCTTATTTATTTATTTGTTTGTTTGTTTGTTTTAATCAAGCTTGCTATAGTGAAGGGCTTTGGAAAACAGCTGTTTGCATCACTAGGCTACATGGCAGGATTCAAAACCCTGCTAGGCACACTCGCATGCTCCGGTGTGCCTGGCTGCCACAGCAGGATGCGCTGGGATGAGTGTCTGCACCGAGTGCGGAGCTGGCAGGGTCCGGGTGCTGGCCAAGGCCGGCAGGGTCCCCTTACGGAGCCGGGCAGGGAGCTGTGAGCCCTCTGCTGGCACCCAGAGCCTCCGACAGCTCGCAGCCGTCAGCAAGCTGCAGGCCCTCCTATACACTTGACAAAGGCCAGGGATTAGTTTACAGATGTAGCTTAGAGGCAAAACTGTTTTCATACCCTGAACGCTGGTATATTTTCTGTGCAAAAATCTGGATGTAACTACAGTAATGGATACCTAACTTTACAGCAGTGCAGCATGCTGCCTATGCAAAATTCAAAATTATGCAAAAATGACCTTCCTCAATAAAAAGCGTGAAGGCTTAGCCTTACATTTAACCTAGAGAAGACTCCAGACCTCAGCACCACCAAAGCTGTTCAGGTGACAACTTTGAGCACCAGATCTATCCTCTTCAAAATTTAAGACCTTTCTAAAGCATAATTCTGGTTTCAGGTAAAGGAAGATAAATAACATTTTGCTCCTCTTCAGCACATCTCACCTGCTCTCAGAGAATTTCACTGGGGAAACTATTTGCCTCCATTTTACAGAGGAAACTGTGGCATCAGGAATTAATCTGATTTGCCTGTGGCTTTGCCAGAGGCAGAGCTGTTGTCCCTGGCTGGTTGTCTCACACCCTATGACCTTGTCTGTACTGGCTTGCCCAACAGCAACATGAGCTGCCATACCTTTTCAGATCTAATCTCCCTGTTCAAAAACAGGCTTTAACACACCTATGGCTTTAATGTAACCCTGTGCAGTTCAGGTGTGATGTTTGGATGGATGAATCATGTTAAGCCTGAGCTGCAAAAACACATGGGACTGCATGACTGAAGTGTTCCTATTCTGCCAGCTCATAGATGACTTCTTGTAAAAGAGAAAGGAAAAAAAGGTAAAAAATGGAGCAAGTGCAGAGTGTGCAGGTGCACTTAGGCTTATGGTTCCTCAGAAGGTTGTTGGTTAGTGCACACTCCTTGAGACACAAGAGTGGTTACGGTACCTCTGCACGGCCTTCTGCAAACAGGTATCGGCTTGCTCTGCCCCACACTCTGATCTGGCTGGATGACAACCAGCTATAATCCACAAGCTGGGTAGCTGTGGTTAGCTTGCTGCACTTCTTCAGCTTCTAAACCTAGCTCAAACTTTGCTTGCAAGAAGCTTTGGAGATTCACATAGTTGTGAAGACGCACATGCATAGCCTCTATTTGCTGTGGCACTGAGTGCAATCACCTTACTCTGCTGTGCACCAGACACATATGTGGAGCATGAAGAGCTCTTTGCTTAGGTCAGAATAAAAGAAGTGAAAAAAAAAGAGCCAGCTAGACTCAAACCTCAGCCATAGTCTAGATTTACAACCCCAATCCAGATCAGGGTCATAGATTAACCCCAAATACCAAAAGCTCAAAGTATATAAGCCCTTCTTACTCAGCATCCTCCAGCTTTGATCTCAGTGAGTCATACCAGTTCATGCCAATGACACAAAAGAGTTTTTTGTCTTCTAATGCTGCAGCTGGTATTAATTACTAAGTAAAGAGTGCTAGAAATTGGCATTGAGGCATAGTAAATGCATAGTAAAACATGCGTTTTCTTCTTCCTCTATACTCTCTTCAGAAGAAATCACAACCAAGGACAAATACTGCAGGGACCAGGATACTTTATGATCATTGTGGTGAGGGAAAAAAAAAAAAGATTCACTGGGTCTTAGGAATGAGAAAAGAGTTGCTACAGGATTTGGGAGGAACACACATTTATTCTACAGTGAATGTCTCTGAAGCAATAAAATTCTCAGCACCTGGAGTTTGCAACCGGAACCGTGAGAAACCGTGTGTATGTGGTAACCTTAACACACTGGTTTTAAGCCTGCTCTGGTGGGAGGGGAAAAAAAAAAAGAAAAAAAAAAAAGAAAAGAAATATATATATATATATCCTCTATAATTTAGCCTGGCAGGTTAATAACTTTTTGTTTATCTACAAAAGTTGCCCCACTCTCAATTTCATTTTTCAAGATTGTTGATAAATAAAAGGCAGCCATGCAGCAGAACCAGCACACAGACAAAGGAAGCAGAGCGCTGTTTGCCGG